CTGGTACATACCTGAGCGCCCAGCCCCGGACACCAAGAACCACCAACGCACCGACCCCTGAGGGCATCAGTTACCGGCAGGGAGTGTGGTGAGGGGAGATAGGCCTTTGGAGGGCCTGGGAGTTCCCAGAGAGGTGGAGTGTAAGATCCAACCTGACATATAGACACAGACAAACAGGCACACACAAGCACAAACATGCATTCCCACCCTCATGCACACATATACAAATACTCAGCACTCACCCAACGTAGGGATAGACATACATGGACACTGTACACACAATCACACTCCCCAAACAAACTCTATACCCTCCCCTGCACCCTGGTGACACACTCGCACCCCAATGCCCTACTTGTGTGGGTGGGTGTGTTGGAGCGGGAAGAGGGAGGCAGCCGGGGATTGGGAGGAAAAACAGGGAGGGGCAATCTAAAATTCTTGTTTAAAATATTTTTCAGATTTTTCTTTTAGAAAGCTTTTGTATTTATAGTTGCACATAAAAACTGGATACATAAAAATATGGAGTGCCTCAGAGTTCAATCTTGGGCCCTCTGCCACTTTAAAAAAAAAAAAAGTTTTCAGCTAATTAAAACACGCAAGCAAATATACAGCTTCCAAGAAATTCATTTTAATGTTTCTATGTTTGAGTTAAATTTTTGAGTCTGATCATCCTTACAAAAACAATCCCCATATCCGTAGTGCTCAAAAGACTTTAGCTTTACCAGTTGTGCTATTACAAAAGCTGAAACTAGACTAATCACATAGTAGCCTCAAGTAACTTACTTTGATTACTCACCTTGGGATTGAATGTGGCATAGAACAGGATGTGTGGATGGAACTCTTCAGCAGCATCAGCAAAAGCATCAAAATCTGAAATTTAAAGGCATCCATCAAGTTGTTTCAGTAGATTGCTATATGTATGAAATATCTAAGAATGTAGACTTCTTGTTCTCATCATTACTGGTGTTTTTGTGTGCTCACTTAAATCAAATAGTAGCAACTGCAATGAAAACACTCTGATAATTATCCTAGAGTTAAGATGCTGTTTAATTTGCTTGATGTGGAATTATCTAAAAACAATACAGGCTATCATGACATTACAGTATCACAGGATTCTTACGTTCTGACTTGTGACTCTTAAAGTAGCCCACCAATTTGATGTCCTCTTCGATGTTTTTAAAGCCTTTTAGTTCCTTACTGTTGTCAATTATTTCCACAGGGTCCTCGAGAACCTGTGGAAAAGGAGAAAAGGGAGAGACAACAGAGATGACAGACAGGAGAATAAACTGGAATAAAGCTCTGTGGGTCATCTTCAAAGGAAGCAAAATGAGTATTTAGAGATTTTATTGCTAAAATAAGGCAGGCTATTAACTGGGAGATTATATCCTCACGAACATCATAGATGAACTCCACAAGAGTGTCAGCTGCAAGCTCGCCATCATATTCTATGACTTCATCGTCTACGAAGACGAAGATGCTGTCAGACTCGTCAAGGCCTAAGGGGAAAGAACATTTTGTGTTTAACCATGCGGCTTTTGGACAGGTTAGCTCAGATTATATTTCAGCTAACTTCTGTTACAGTAACTTAACTGTGATAGTTTGGCTAGTCTGACTTTTGCACAATAAGCCATGTACCAACTGCCTGCAGCTGTATTTACCTAATTTCTTTGCAACAGCCTTGTCGTGCTTTGCATCAATGAGACCAACTCCAATATCTTCATCTTCAAACTCATCCAGGACCTGGGCTGCAAGCTGTAAAACATTGCACATAAATAATTAAACAATTTATTAGTTCAACACAAAAAAGGGTGGGGTGGTGGGATAGTGTGTTTTACTCATTTGGAAGGCTACACTATTACACCCCTACACTATTATTTACACCTTTTGACAAAGTTGTCTCACTCAGTAGTTTCATTACCATAAAAGCCTGCTTTTCAGAGCGCCGCTTATGCACTTTCTAAATCTGTATGAAACTTGAACCTTGTGACTGACAGTTGGGTCCACCAATGACAGCATCACACTTGCAGCTCAGCTGCATTGAGGAAGTTGTTTGAGAGCTGTCTCAGTCCATTTGAAGGGTAAACAGTGCACACAAACTCTCGCAGACACACACGCGCACATACATGCACACTGGTGTCTGAAATCTTGAGCAGCTGCTTTACTGGCATAAATAGTTAGCCCAACCAGGCTGTCCTGCAGTTTGTTGTGCAGATAATTCTCTGAATTTCTTTTAACCTGACTGGAGTTTTGGATGAGTGGAGCACAGTGAAATAGTTTAAATTTTGCAGCTTAGTTTTAAGTTACACATCATACAGACTTATTCCCTTCATTGCACTATACCTTTTTTGCAGACTGTGCCCTTTTGGCATTTACACAGACTAAAATAAAACTTCTTACAGGCAAATGGATTAATGCTTCATCGTTGTATATATCACATTTACTTTGTGGCATATATTTACAGGCTATATTTAGTCTATAAACATATTTAGCCCCCCAAAAAATATATACATGTATACATTCTTTTGGTAGTACCTAGTAGTGAATTTCACTAAATGTCCATTTGAATAAAGCACATTATTTTTACCCAGATAATTTTTTTTTTGCAAATGTCTTTAAAGTATGTAAAATTAAATTAGTTAGTAGTAGTATGTAGTATGTAAAGCAAAAACAAACTATGTCTGCCTGCTCCTCCTAATCTGAAACATGCAAAGTTGTTTTTGGAGCTTGGGTGTTCTGAATGTGTATTTGATGTGACATGGGTGAGATCATTTGCTCAGAGTAATTGAACCTCCCCAACTACATGTAAAGTTAAACCAGCAGGCTCAGTATCTGGGGTGGGATTTCATAGCTTCATGTCTGCGTGCACTGCAGCTGTACATTTCTTTCAGTTTTTGTTCTTGGCTGAGATGTTACGGACTGTAGTGATATTCAGCTGGTGCAGCACCTGACTGTATCTGCTCATTTTGAGCGAGGCTGCCGGACACTGGTGCCATTGGGCCCTCTGACCACCACCAGTAGGCAAACATGGGGTTAGTATCTTGCCCAAGGATATTTGGCATGCAGCCAGGAGGCAGCCTGGGATCGAACCACCGACCTTCTGATTAGCGGCTGACCTGCTGACACCCCGTCAGTGTCTAAGTGTAAAAGCACCTGCAATCTGTCTGGAGAATGCAGGTGCTTTTCCTTACATTGGTCTACAGCGCTTCCCTTGACAGAGCATTCGTAACAGACCTGAGAGGTCACTTTAATAACAAAATCAACTAAGTTCAAACGGCATGGACGAAAGCACTTAATTATCACCATCACAATGTCATGTTTTGACTTTCACTAACCCCCACAGGGCTCCTTGACCTCTGAAATGTTTGCACCTTTTGCAGTTGCCTCTTACCATAAATAAAGCTTCATTAAGTGTAAATCATAATACATTCAGAAGGAGAAACACAAGCCTTTGGAGCTCAACCCACCACAAAAGCAGCTCAGGATAAATATAGCACCAGAAGCAACACCAGCCCCAGGGACTATTTTGGTGAGATGGCAGTGATGCTCAGTACTCTGGGATCCGCTGACAAGTACAGTACTGCAAGTGTCAATCACAGCGCAGAGCTGAGCCGGCACTACTGGAGCCAGTACCTCAAGTGCTGGCCTGGAGCCCCAAGGCTGAGCAACAGTGCCCTATACGCAGACACCAGAGGGTCTTGATGTGATTCGCCAAGGAGAGCAGCCTCTCGTATCTCTCACTCTCCTGCTCTCTCTGTCTGATTTGTTATTAATATTTTCCTCATTACTGCTATTCATTACTATTTTTTTTAGCCCTTCATCCTTTTTCATTTGTCTTGTTCACATGAGATTTGGTTACTGATGAGATCTGTTGCACACAATTTCTGCTATATTTGTTTAGGCAAAGTTAGAATATTTGTCACAGTTTTTATTTTTAGGGGCTGTTGAGAGTTCCTTATATGATCCTTTTTGGCCTAGAGTTGTCATAAAAAAAAAAATAATTAAACAGGAGTCAACAAACCAGGCTTGCAAATTACAATAATGCAACAAGCATATGGGGTAGCAGCCTTGACATTACACTGTACATTAGCCATGCCAAATGCCATATAATACTGTTGCTACGTGATCTAGTGCAGGCCATAAATCAGAAATCAACCTGGTTTCTCAGAACTGCAATGTTCAGTGCAGTTCTCAAATAACTGCTTCTTTAAACAATATCAAGTGTGTCTTCAAATGTTCTCTGGGCACCTCTTAGTTCTGCATTGTGTCTGTGATCGTTATAGTGTAAAAATGAATTTTGCTCTCTGTATAAATAATCAGCATGTCTGCAAACATGAGGTCAGCTGCTTGAAGTGACAAATTGAACTTTTCTTGGAAAATGGAATGTGGTTTTCACTTGTTTACTTGTTTACTATAAGTAAACTATAAGTAAACAAGTGAACAGAAAAGTTTGTGTGGAAAGGGATGTAGTGTGTTTTTATAGGGAATGTGAACCAGGCTGGCGTGAGGCCTGATGAGCAATCGGATGAGGGAGTGTTAAGTGTATCAACTGCTTGCCTCACACACAGTAACACACAAAGACGCACACAAACAGACACACATCCTCTACACAGGCTCAGCCTTTGCCAAAATAAATGATACCTTGGGTCCTCACAGCTCAGCTCTTTGCCTCGGGGTGGTCGACATGACGACACACCGTAGGCTTGTGACACATTTTTGGGACTTCACTTCTCAGCATTTCTGAATCCAGCAAAGCTATTTTCTACCGCCTTATCTCCTTTTCTCCATAAAAACTTCCTCTTTGCAAGTCACTGACAGGAAGTGAATTTATTCAGTCCATTTTTTTAAAACCACAGTTAAATATGCTGAAAGCATCTGTGTGCTCATGAATAAAGTACCAATATTACAGCTTCCTCATCACCATCTATCCACAGTTCTTATCTTAACCCACCTCAAGGGCCAACTCCTCGATATCGAACTGTCTCTGGGCGGCGCGGCTGGATCCGGGATGGTCATGGTAGTACACCACCATTATGTCATACTTCTTCATCACGGACTTATAGTTCTTGGCGTTGAGGTCGTGAACGCGGTCCTTGCCATCGTAGTCAGGGAAGTCCAAGCTCTCCTTGCCCAGTGAAATGCTCCCAAAGGACAGCAAGACTACTACAAGCACCCAGGTCCACTTCATGGCTCCTCTCTAATGTGGATGTATTTACAGTTTCAGAAAGTAAATGAAAGCGGCGAAAAATATTGAAAAAAAAAAGTTTGGTGAAAGTATGGAGAACCCCTTCCAATCCGCGTCACCCAGAAGAGAGCAAGACAGCCTCCTGCATCCGCCTTATTAAAAACCCCACATGGGCAACTGGCAGTGGGCTCAGGGTGCAAGAGGGGTTGGGCTTAGTCTGACATAGGTGTGACCATGGTCCTATGTGGCACGTAATTAAGCATGGAGAAGATGAGGCAGGGCTGGGGTGACAGCTTTCTGTGTGTGTGTGCGTGCGTGAGTGTATGTTAGGAACCAGTGAAAGAGGGTGGAGTGAGGGGGAGATGACCAACCTGCTCTCTGCATGCAACACAGAACATACACAGACAGCTGTGGAGATGGAAGGAGGTGTGTGGGCAAAGAGAGAAGGCATCATATAGAATAGGACATTGGTGTGTGAGTGTGTCCGTTTTGTGCCAGATGAAGAAGAACTTTGATATGATGGATTTAGGGGTGGGTACAAATATGAGGGATTCTTTTCCCTTATTAAGTGAAGATGAAGGCTTGGATCCCAGCTAAAAATAAGGGATGTAGGACAGAGAAGTACATATCAGGAGCGGGTGCTGGTGTCTAATTTGCTGCTGCTGGCACCCGTGCAGTGCTAGAATGTGAAGCAGGGTCACTCGGGGACATGAAGCTGGAGTGAGAGAGGAGAGGAGAGGAGACGAGGAGAGGGCGGTGCACTTGCTGAGGAGTCAGTGCACAGGGGTCACTTAGCCCTGACTCAAGAAGAAAGTGAAACATAGCGTTTTACAGGGGCTGGGCATGCATGTGGAAGCTTTATTGGAATCCTTGTGAATCTGACCCTGATACACACTGAACACATGTGTCCTGTGCAGCGTTTGCATGTATGCTTGAGATGGTTGCCATGTCATATTACTTTACGAATTGAGAGGGAAGAGGTAAGCTATAAATAAATACAGGCTATCGTAATACTTCATCCAGCTCTCAACACTCACACTTAGGTAACACACCCCTTCTTTTCTGTAACAAGACATGCAAGCTTACAGCATTAACGCAGACATTTTTTTTTGTCTAAGCAAACGGCTTAAAAGGTGCACCGTGCGCGTCTGCGTGTGGCTTAACTGTAGAACATGGAGCTGAACTGTGGTCAGCTGTGTTACTGTAAACACCTAATAAAAGGATATGCGAGGGTTGGTTTCAAGTGTGCTTCCTTTGCAAACCATGCAGCGACAGCTTGCATAACAGTTTGAAGTCCTGATTACATTAATAGCCTTAAACGTGAAAAAGTGACAGTCAGCTCGAGCATGCGTGGCTTGGGTGCGTCTAATGTTTGAGCACATTAAGTTGAGATCTAAGCAGGTGTTCTGCTTAGATCTCAACCAATTTTGTGGGCCCTACTCCAAATCCACACCTGTGAACAGAGGCATACAATGTGCTGTATGCCTATGGTTACTAGTGTCAACTCAGCCTACAAACTACTTTGCTTCACAGCACATAACTGTCATTAAGTTCTTCATTCACAAACACCTGCACCTCTGCTTTCAGCATTTCACTCCTCTGGCCATAATTCAGTCAGTGATATCACTTTCAGTCTTTTATTGACAATGGTGATAAGAGCATGCACTGTGCCAGCACTGATTAAGGCAGAGTTGGAACATTAATTTTCCCGAGAGGCTACATGAGAAACTGGAACTGTGGTGCTGTGCCTGTGTGTTCCAGTTTCTCATGTAGCCCCTTGGGAAAATGAATCGCCCAATCCTGGATTAAGGTATGCTCGAAAAAGCAAAACCAATTTGCCATCATTTAGTCCTCTATTTTATAGATCATTTATCCTTTGATGGACAGGACACATGCAAGACTGTTAAATTCATACTACTATTTATTTTATGACACACATATGCAATCAAAAGCTTATAACTTGTAAGTTTTGAAACTTCTAGTTTATCTACTGTAGAACTGATGTATAGTGTGTATGATACACTGTCTCATGGACTTTAGGCATACTGCTAAATAATTAAGCTTCTTCTGTTCTGTGCTGGTCTCCTGGAACCTGGTTAAATAAAGACTTTTACTTGTTGTTTATTTGTTTGCAGTCCAAACAATAGCTAGCTGGTGTTTTTTTTCTTTTTCTGAATTACTATTTGCTTATTTGCATTTATACCCATGATTGCAGGCTAATTTGTAATAGAACATTTCTAATACTAATAATGTAATATTTTGACAGAGGGAGAATGACGTTTATCCAGTTTCTTCATGTCTGCAGCAGTTACCGCTGCTGGCCAGGAGATGGCACTCTCTGATCTACTGTAACTACAGATTGCGTACTGTAGAATCTGCAGCTTCCAGTTTCTGGATAGATTCCTCAAACCGTAAGAATATTTAATCTCTTTCTTTTGCCTGTTCCTGTTGGAGGTCACCACAGCAGATCATCTGCCCCAAACTCACCTTTAACCTGTGATCCTCATTTCCTCATTTGTCCATCACCACTGCAAACAAGAAGGGGCTCAGGGCTCCTTATGTAATGATACATCATGCCTAAACTTTCTACAGTAGCTGCTACCACAGACCTCACCACTGTTTTGCTGTCATCATTTGTGTCTTTCATCACCCTCACATTCTTCTCTTCTACTTCTGACTTCCTCATGCAGGACCACAGTTCCTCTCATACCCCGTCTCTGGATCCACAATGACACAGTGCAACTCCTTCTGACCTTCTCTATACTTCTCCAGCCACAGTCTCGAAGCAAACATCAAATCTCTATAGACTATTAAAATATGCAGCACAATTATTACTGTTACACTAAAAAGAAATGTTTTATTTCATTTTTGCAATCTCCACATAATCTCCACTCAGTCCGCAGGAGGAGGGCCCGGGTTATTGAGACATTTCATTGTGGGTGGTGCCGAAGCTTTTGTAACTCAAAGAACACAACCGGTCAAACCGGTGTTGCAGTCGTGGTCCCAGAGTTTTCGGTGGAAATGGGTAAAAGGATTAGTGATGGGCTTTCTGTGTACACTGGGTAAATGATCGCAATATTATTAGCTGTTCAGTGGGTGGAGGACGTGAGAGCATTACATGCTGTCATTTGTTCAGATTCAAGTTCATCATTGGTCAGTCTACAGCATAGTCACTCAGACAGTAGAGCAGATGTTTTGGCGGAAATTCAGCAGTCACTTTTCCGGATACGCATGATGGGACTTGCAGTCGTGTTTTTGTGGGTGCCAGCACACTATGGCGTGTGGGCGAATGAAAAGGCAGATAGAGTAGCAAAGGAGGCCGTAAAACATGGGGTGGTTGACATGGCTGTTAGTTTTGGCCAAGCAGAGATAAGGGGTATGGTAAGGCAAGATATGAGAGCAAGATGGCAAAAGCAGTGGGTGGAGGAAAGGAAGGGACTAGGAGGGAGGAGGTGATCATATCCAGACTGAGATTTGGACATGCTGGCTTGAATAATACGTTATTCATGATAGGGAAACATAGTACTGGAAAATGTGATTACTGTGGGGTGGAGGAATAGAACATGTCATGTTGCAGTGTCAGAGGTATCAGGTTGAGAGGAGACATTTGATTCAAAATCTTAGTAACCTAAAAATCAAACTGGATCTGGTTGATTTGTTGCGAAAGGAATCGGGAAGTAAAAGTTATCAGGCCTTATTTCAGTTTTTAAAAGAGGGGAACCTGTTTGGAAGGATTTGAGGATTTTTTTTAAATTTTTTTTTTTTTTGAGCGTCGTTCCAGACCATACTCCATACCAGTTGGTGGCGGTAATGCACCTTTCAATTGTTTGCCAACCGCCAATACAACTGTAAGAAAGAAAGAAAGAAGCTTTCATAACAAGTTTCAGAATCAAAGTGTGTCGTGGTACTGCTGGTGTAAAAGGTTTTAAACGAATTACGGTACGCTGTGGACTACATATAACGCAGGCTAAGGTCAGACTTTTCTTTATGAACTTTTATTTATGCCTCAACAACTCGCTAGTTTATGCTAGCTAAGAGTATGTTAGCTAGCACTCTGCTGTCATGGTTGCTAGGGTCCTGGCTGTAGCTTAAACGAGTACAAACAGCAAGTGCTATATTTCTGTGAGTAGCTACCAAGCTTCTAATCATTTAGCAGGCTACAAGTTGGTGAAAGCTCCGCCAAGCTGTGCTCGATTAGTCAGATGATTAGGAAAGGTAGTCGAGCGCAGATGAAATCGATATGACCGCTTATCAGCTGGAGAGTTTTGTTACAGTAGAAAACCGACTGCTGGGAAATATAGTAAGAGAAATGCCCTGTAAGCGGTCACTAACTCTCTTATGTTTGCTCAAAGCTTAAGCTTTTGAATAACGGATTAATGGTTTGTCATTATAAAATAGTGAGCAATAGAAAATAATTTTTAGCCACATTGCAAAAGTGGGAAACAGGAAATGTTAATTTTAAGAGCTGTTAATTTTAAGAAAATTTAAACAGTCCACTCTGCCAAAATAATGAAATTAACTGTTCATTTTATTTAAAATTTCTTTTTTTGAATGTATTTAATTCTTTGTACATTTGTGCAGATGGGTTCAGCTCTGGCAAACAGGGCAATAGGAGCCATCATGGGATCAGCAGTGGCAGATGCTGCAGGTATTAATAGTGTCTCACTTGTTTTACATTGATGATCTATGAAAGTAATCATGCTTGTGTTTAATAACTGGAAAGACAGTTTTTATAGGGGACTGAAATGCCGTCCTGTGAAACACTCAATATCACCATACTACTTCCATGGCAGGGTTAGTTTAGTGGTGCACCTGATTAATTGATCATCACAAGTGTGAGCACCTCAGGCACCTCAAAATTGGATCATGCAACAAGACAATGATCCAAGGACAGCAGCTAATCTCTTAAATAAGAAATCGCTGGAAAAATAAAAGAATCCACGTGCTGCGATGGGCCAGTCAAAGTCCAGACCTCACCCCAATTGCCATTCGATTATGGGACCTTAAGAGAACTGTGCATAAATGAAAACAGACATCAATGAACTAAATCAATTTTGTAAAGAAGAGTGGGCCAGATTTCTTCCACAGCAATGTGAGAGACTGGTAAACTCTGTCGCCTGTCAAATCTGTCAAGACTATAACTTTTGAGCTGTCTTAAGGTTAGCAGGTATCTTTCAGCTGAGCTGAGAGTTTCCTGGTTTGAGTTGTACTCAGATCTTCAGGTTGTACGAGTGGAAGTGGATTTTCAGTCCTTTCTTATTTTTAACACATCTCCTTAGGTTTTGAGTAATGTC